TGAAGGAGGAGAGTGAAGGAACTTTACATACGTTGATTGAGAGGTTGTTCCAAGTGTAACAGGCAGCGTGGAAAGAGACAAAGTTGGGAGTGAGCAAAAAGACAATGGGGAAATATGATATGGGGCTCAGGAAATGAGAAAAAGGGAATTATTCAAAACAGGAGAGATAATGTTTTAGTCATCAACAGACTTCACAGAGAGAGACAGACAGAGAGAGAGAGAAATGAAGCAAACTTAACTGAAGATTCTACATTCAGAAGAAAAGATTCCAAGGGTCAAAAAACAAACCGCATGAAGTCATCAAGATACAGTTTGTCCACACCACGGTTCTTTTAACATTTTATTTTACATTCTTCACTAGGTCAGTTTTCCCTACAATCCTCAAGTTCCCTTCCTAGTATAGGTTTCCTAAATGAAGAATACAGGCAATTGACCTTATGTGTCCATATATCTTCCAACATTTTATACACTGTGCTAAAAGAAAGAGAGAGAAATCTAATAAATAACAATGAAGCTGACTCCTAGGATTATGAATTCCCAAATTCTGGAATACAATTTTTAGCTGCCACAGTGTAAAACAAACACATGAGAATGTTTCTGCTAATGAAAGCCAAAGCACTGAGACAAAGGTCACCCAAAAACAGTTTAAAATTCTGCATCATTTTATATTCATTCATTGGCATGGGAGTTGCATCATGGACAGCAACCCAACACCACTTCACACACACTCACTCACTCACTCACTCACTCACTCACTCACACACACACACACATGAAATCAAACAGGCACAGCCAATAATGTAGTTACTTCTCACAAAATCCCAAACAGACAAAGTGGTGGCATAGTAAAAGGACATCTTTGCTGCCACCACTGACATAGAGTAGATTCTACAACAGGCTCTAACCCATTTTTCATTGGACCTGTGATGGCTATAATTTCTCCTAAGTGTCCCTGGTGAACCCAGACATGCCCCATGGTTTAAGAAGGAGCTGGCAGTGATTAAAAGAGTGGTACAGACACTAGAGCATTAATAGCTGAAAAGCTACACATGTTGAACCAAACATGGATTGGAGCCCATTGTAAGGTATATTCCATGTCAGCGGTGGCAGCAAAAAAGTGCTTTTACTATGCCACCATTGTGTCTACATAGAGTTGTCTGGAGTGATCATGAGCCTCCTACACTCACAGTCAGTAGATCACTCAACAGCTGTCGTACAAGAATTTACAAGACATTCTGCAGATAAAACATCTCCGATCCACTATAACTTGCATGTTATACTTGACGCAGGTCCTGTGGATATAACTTTTGACATATGCTTGCCCTGTTTTTAAGGGTTTGTTTCAATTTCTGTAGCCTGAGGAAGTGGATAGGCTCCTTGGAGAGGTAAGATGTGCTACCTTTTTGCCTTTTCTGACTCATACACCCAACAAAGGGGACTGGGTGAGTACATAAAGGGAATAGTGAATGCCACTCTAAAGCAAGGCAGGGTTTCTCTGGGGGTTGGGGGAGTGGTTATAAGGCATTTATTGAAAAGACACACACATCCCTTTGAACTCAACAATATTAGGTAACCACACTCCAATCTCCAATATTATATTTTTGAATAAGGTACTGGAGAGTGTGATGGCTTCTAAACTGCTGGGGTTTATAAAAGAGACAGATTATCTAGATTCAATCCAATCTGTCTCTAGGCCTGATTAGGGATTGACATGCTATTGGTCACCTTGACAGATTATCTATGCCAGAGACTAGAGTGGGGAGTGTGTCTTTGCTAGACCACTCAATGGTTTTCAATACCATCAACCACAAGATCCTTCTGGGCTTTCTCTTTAGGACAAGACCTGGAGACACCATTTTGTCATGGCTCCGGACCATCCTGGGCACTCAAAATCAGAAGGTGGTGTTGGGGGACTGCTGGTCTATGTCTTGGCTGTTGATCTGCAGGCTTCTTTCAGAGTTGTTTTGTTCCCCATATTATTTAACATACACAAGATTGCTGGGAGGGCTAGTGCAAAGTCTGTGGTTTTAGTACCAACAGTATGCTGATGACACAGAACTCTATTTCTCTTTTCCATTTAATTTCAAGAAAACTGTATTAGTTCTAAGCTTATGTCAGTAATGTCTTATGGCAGTACTGCAATGAATAAAGGTGAAGCAACTGAAGTCTCATCAAGGCAACACAGACGTGCTCCTGGTTAGTCAAAATGCAAAACAGAAACACAAGTTGTTTTGGATGAAGTTACATTGCCCCTGTAAAATCAGGTCTGCAGCTTGGACTCACTTTGAGTCTGTATTCCAGGTCTCAGCAATACCGTGAGTACATCTGCATAGTTTAAAAAATTCATTTACCAGGTGTACACATTCCAGGAAATGTCTGATTTGGTTATGGTGAAACATGCCATAGTTAGATTATGGATTAGTACAGCACACGCTATGTGTGAGGACTGTTTGAAAACTTCAGCTGGTTCAAAATGCTGCAACCAGACTGTTGACTGGGCCTGGTAACAAAATTCATATAACTTCCTTGCAGCTTCACTGGCTAATGGTTTGTTTCTTGTCCCAGTTCAGAGCACTGGTTATGACCTATACAGCCCTGTGTAGCTTAGGTTCCGGCTATTTTAAAGATCAAAATTTCACATATAACTCTTCCCAGCTTCTCTCTCAGTCTTCCTGTTCTCACAGGCATGTCTGGTAAGGACAAGAGAGATAGCATTTTTCAATGAGATTACGAAACTCACTCCCACATGATGCTACTTTGAGTCTCTTCCTGTTAACTCTCTAGCGCCAGGAAAAAACTTTTCTTCTCAAACAGGCTTTGAATAACTGAAAGATCTCATGAGAAAAATGTTTCAGTGGGGGATAGAGTACACTTTAATGTTTCATGATGTTTTTTTTTAAATTAATTTTAAACTGATTTTAAAATGAGCAACTTTTCAATATTGGTGTATGCACCCTTGTATAAAACAGAAACAAACAGAATTCAAACAATATTTTTTATTTATTTGATTTTGATTACAATACCATATTAAATAAATAATTTAATATAATTACATAATTTCAGCAGGAGAACATGGTTTTGTGGTTGCTTTTAAAAGAAAGCCAACTTAACTAATGTAGAAAATATGTACACATAAAATGAAGTTATAATGAAATTATGACATTTTTTAGCTATGAAGTGTACACTCATTCTTTGTGTAATTAATTTTGATGGGGAAACTTCAAACATGAGTGGGTGTAAGTTAGTAAATCTGTAACAACAAGTCTACCCAAACAAATTATATGGTGCATGTAGCAGCATGAAATCTCACACTTTTAGAGCAGTTCAAGCCAAGTAATTTTTTTTTTAACTTTGAATACTATATGCATTATTCCTTGGTAATAAATTGTTACCTATAACTTTCATAATTTATTTTTATCATATAGCTCCCTACCATTGTAAGGAACACTGTAAATTGTTACAGAAAAACATTTTATGTTAGCATAGCCCTAAAATGATAACATTAGAATAATTACATAATTACATAAACAAAAAAATTCAAAAATATATATTATATTTTACATAAAGCCAAATGTTTGCTCTCTGTATCAAATATGAGAATTTAGGAATGTGAGATTACTGCACATATAAAATTCCAACTTGTAAGCAATAATAGGCTGTTTTCTTATATTGATCTTCAAACCTCTCTTCATTTGCATCTGTCACACTGCACAAGGCAAAGCTTTTGAAACTCAGAATTTGTTAACTATTTTTCAAGGTCAAATGTGACTTACAAAACAATCTTTAAATACATATATTGATTTTTTGTTCTCCCTTAAAAACAGCTACTAGGCCTTACAACCTGGATCATGGCTATCCAGCTTGGAAGGCCATGCAGTTGAATCTTTCTCTGCAGGCTTATTTTTTGATCTCAATCCCAGAACTGCAATTTCTCCTGCTGAGAAAAATTTGTGGGTACCCAAGAACAGGCCTCCTGCAACTTGTCTATTAGAGTCGGCATGCCATTAGGATAAAAAAAAAAGAGTCAAAATTTGAAAAACTATTTTAAATAATAAAAGCAGGGAAGAGAATAAACTTTTTCGTATTATGGATTATTTCAGGAGGGGTAGAGAACTAAAATAGTTCTGTTTTTCCCCCACATTCTTCATTCCAGAAGAAAAAGTAGAATTAGGATCTTTACGCGTTTCCAAATCTGCATTCCTCTGGCAACATTACATAGTACAAGATAGATCAAGGTGAATTCTAACATTTTGAGCTAACCTGTAGTGTATATAGGATACCTATACATGATATGACAGGAGCTTCCTAGCTCTGATGAATGAAGTGAAATCTGGAAACTTGATGGAGGGAGAATGGGCCTAAGCTTGGAAAGTTACTCTGAAAAATTAATTTATTTCTACTACTGTTATAGTGCTTAGGAAGTAAACTATTGTCATCACCAGTTACATTAAGTAAGTGGCTTGCTCATCATGTCATTTGTTACTTTTTCTCTTCCTTTTTATTTCTTTAAAACCAAATTTTAGGTTTGATAATAATTTGATAATAATTTTGAAAAACTTAAAATTTTCTTTAAAAATACTGTACCCTTAAAAGGTATTTTACTGTTACTTGTTATTCTTTCTCCTCATCCATTCTGTTACTTTCAATATGTCATTCCGTTCTTCCACAGTTATCAAAATCATGAACATAACAAGACACAGGTAAATATGTTAGTTGTTATTCAATACTTTCTGCATTTGGGAACTGATGTACAGTATCTCAGATTAAGGTTTCTTCATGGCATGATTTACAAGAGTCTACGTGACACCAACCTAAGCTGTACCATTCCTCAGTTTTTATGGCTACACAAATGTAAACCACCACATGCAAACACAACAAAGCTTCATGATTTATTCTGACTACAGGATTTAGTTTTTTGTAAACAGTCTCCTCCTATAGAACACACAGATATCTTTGAGTAACCAGGAAATGTAAAACTTATTATTCAAATAAATACTTACCCACAAATCATGTTCAGCATAGTCAAAAAGTAACCACACCTTTCTGTCACTATGAGAAAGGAAAACCTTCTGCAATGCAATTACATTAGGGTGCTTCAGTTCTCGCAAAAGCTGCAAGGGAAAAGAGAAACAAAGTAAAGATTTTTATCATACCAAAAGAGAAAACTGACCTCTAGTTTGACAAAGAAGCATGAACAATCTTCCTTGCCCATTTTAGTGCCTCCTGGATAATATAGGTGCCAGAAATATTCCATAGAAAGAAGAAAGCAGAACAGTAAGATTTATAATGAAGTAAAGGTTTTATCTTAGATAGTTTTTATACTTGTCTGAAAAAGCATCTTGAGAACGGTTCTACTTGGGGGATGCCTTGATAGACAAAAATAGTGGGAGGAAACCTTTGTGTGTTACCCTATCCTGTTGCAGTCCTTACGCATTCTGAAAATCAGGGAGAAAGGGAGACTGCAAGCAGAAACCAGTTAAAATATCTACTTCCAATTTCTATTATATAAACTTCCACTTCTATTCCAACTTATATTATATAAACTTCCACTGATTCAGAAAACTGCCATCGATGGAAAACTATTCTTTAAGCCTGGTACATATGAGCTTTCTGCGCCTTTCTCTGCTGTATACCTACTAATCTGGCTGTTTGGCCCTCCCCTTTAGTCACGTTAAAGGATCATACCCCATGTAATGTTCTCCCCCTATAGGTTTGGGCACTGCCAGCTTGAGAACAAATGGAGCACACCTCATCTCAAAAGATGTCTAGAGATAGCAACAGAAACCTATGAGGGTATTCTATAGAATTATGAAGGCTGAACAGATTATCTCACCATCCACATATCATGGTTAACATGGTAGCAGGGTGCATAAGATAAATGATTAAAAAAATTAACTGATTTAAATCATCACCAAAAAATCCATTAAAATTTTAAATTAAAAATCCAATTTTTAAAATTTAAATCAAATCCCTCCTGCATGGCAGGGTTCAGGCTGGTTTGGAATTATATGATTTCAGATTTTAAACTTTTTCAGGAGATCTCTCTAACTTACAGACTTTCTTGGGACATGGTCTGACATACATTTGGGCAAACGTGGAACGAGCGCATCTGACGGGATCACATACTGGAATGGTGCCGCCCCATCTAAAGGCACGCAGGGCCATTCCACTGCTGCAGGACAAGGTGGTTCCACAAACTGATTGCCCAGACCCTATTTATTCTTTCTTTCTGTTGCACACATAAGCATGCCCCCCTACAGACTTGTCCCTCCTTGAAAAGTTATCACAATCCTGCAGTGGAAGGTTTGTTGTTCTTGTTTTTGCAAGACTATTTCCTGTGGTCAGGTCAAGTCAAAGGAAGTTGGAAGACTGAAGGAGGAGTTAATCTTTTCTTCCCTAGCAATTACTACTTTCAGCATCCCTCAGCAATGGAAGCTTTTTAAAGCTTAAATATAGTTGGGGGCAGGGAAATTTCTTCAATTACAAAAAAAAAAAAAGAGAGAGAGAGAGAGAGAGAGAGTTCAAGAGACGAAAATATCTTATATCCCACCATGGTGATTAAATTTAACTTCCTAGGTGACTCCTGTGAGCCATATCCAGTCTGCAGGCTGGAAGCTCCTTATTCCTGCTCTAATTCAACAAACCAAACCCTGTGTTGATGAATTAGTCAGAGAACTTCTAGGTTGTCTTCATCAGACCTACTAGAAACTAAGGCCAGAATTCTATTGCCCTGTACCAGGCCTGCAATGTTCTACTGCACAAACATAAGACACATACACACAGATTGTTCAAGAAGATATCCAATACCAAGCACCATTGAGAACAATGGGAACAACCTCCAACTTGCACAATAATAAAGGTGGAGATCACATGAGCTCTACATGTGGTGAACAGAAAGCTGGCCTATACAGATGTGGCAACAAAATTTTGTATAAAGATCAGCTAGTAATAAGTTAACATGAATTATGCTTTCTTATGTTTTTTCCTTTATTTTTCTTCTAAGTGAAACTTTTAAGTGAACGCTCTAAAAATATTTTCAGATCTCAATTTTTATCCCTCACTATTCTAGTACGTGTGTGTGTGTGTGTGTGT